AAATGGAGATTCCCCCGGTACAGCTATTGAAGGCTTCACAAACTACTTGGTCAAAATAGGTGTTAAATAATGTGGGAGCCAGAGGACATCCCTTTCGCACCCCAAGGTGTACAGGGAATGGCTCTGATTCCCGGCCACGTAGTTTTACCCGGGCCCGCTCACCATCATGAAGGTCCTTAATGATCGTGAGCAGAGGGTCAGGGACTCCAAAATCACGAAGAACAACCCAGAGCCCAGGCCTACTGATGGTGTCATAGGCCTTGACCATGTCCATAAAGCAGAGATGTAGGTCTTGTTGGAATTCCCTACACCTCTGCTGTAGCAGACGGACAGAAAATATGGCATCTGTGCAGGACTGCCCTTTCATGAGACCGCATTGGGGCTCCGCAAGCCTCTCCTCAGTGTGCCTGGTGAGGCGATGTTGAATAATCCTTGCCAGGACCTTTCCCTTGTAGTTGTTACAGTCTGTGCCGTCCCCCTTCTTAAAGAGGGGGACCACCAGGGCATCCTTCCAATCCTGCGGAACCCGTCCAGTGGTCCAGACTGTTGTTATGATGTCATATAGGGCAGTCTGTGCACAAACGCCACCCTCCCTCAGCATTTCGCTTGGGAGATCATCTCTGCCCGCTGCCTTTCCTGGTCTCAGACTCCGGATCACCTTCAGTACTTCCTCAACAGATGGTACTTCAGCCAGCCACTCACAGGGGGTGACTTCTTCCAATATTTGAGGCACCGCAGCATCAGCAGGGTCATCCTCACTTTGTGCCACGATGTTTTCCTGGCTGAGGGATTTTCCCTCCCCCAGGACCTCACAGAAATGCTCAGCAAATCTGCAAACCTGTTCGTGCGGGTCGGAGATTGAATCACCGTTTTTTCTCCTAATGATGGCAATAGGTCTGGTGCTGCAGGTTACTTTTTTGATGGAGTTAAATATGGATTTGTGATCGTGGGCCACTGAGGCAGACTCCATTTACTCAGCAACCCATGACCACCACCCATCCTTGCAGCTCCTCACGGCTCTCCGAACCTCTGAGCGAAGGGTGCGGTAAGCCTCCTCATTCTCTGACGTGGGATTCTGTAGCCGATGACAGTGGGCCTGTCGCTTTTTCTTAACCATCCTGAACACCTCCTCTGTCAGCCAGGGTCTCTGGGGAGGTCTGGACCATGTACCCAAAGCAGCCATTGCAGCTGCATGAGTCACAGTCCTAAACCTCGCCCATTTACCCTCAACATCAGGAGGAGTGGGGGACAATGCCAATCCCAGCCGCAAGCGATGATGAATTTCTCGCTTGCAACTTTCATCAGATAACTGAGACCAGGCGACTTTAGGTTGGAATGGGGTCCTGGGTGTACACCCACCACCGGAGTGGAAGAATGGCAGGCGCATCTTACAGATGACTAGTCGATGGTCAGAGGGCAGATCAGCTCCACGGTAGGTCCTGGTGTCAAGGACATGGGCTCGCATCCGCTGGTCCATCACTATGTAGTCCAGCAGATGTTCTTGCTTGGACCCGGCATGCATCCATGATGTTGTGTGGATGCGCCGATGCCGGAACAGCATGTTGGTAATTACAAGCCCATGGGCTGCACAAAAATCTAGCAGCCTCCTACCGTTGTCATTGAGCTGATCTGGCCCATGCCCTCCAATCACTCCAGACCAGGTGCCAGCATCATGGCCAACTCGGGTATTGAAGTCACCCAACATGATGACTCTATCCCAAGGTGCCACTTTAGCCAGCACCAGTGACAGGAGGTCATAGAAGGCATTTGACTCATCGGCTTTGCCTGCATTCCTCCACAGATGTTCGTCTTCAGTGGGGGCATAAGTAACCATGACCTCCACTCATCGCCTCCGGTTGATGGGAAGTCGAGCCCAAAGTAGCCTGGGGCTTACAGCTTCCCACACCTCACCGCCACGCTCCCACGCCCCCTTCATTATTTTGTTCAAAAGAAGAGCCACACCCCAAGTTGAGGACTGTCCACCCCTCATGGTAGCAGGAGCCAGAACCGGTCCACCGGACCTCCTGAATGCCACAGAGCTCCAGGCGGTACCGGTCTAGCTCCCGACAGAGGAGTGGCAGCCGCTCCTCCGCAGTGAGCGTTCGGACATTCCACGTGGCCATCCGAAGTGGCTTTTCGTTGTTTCTGGAGGAGCCCCGAGGGTAGAGATTCAATCTCCTGGCTCCGCCAAATGGGGTTTGGCCACCGGCACAAGCTTATTAGTTACATATTTTATTCGTGGTTTAGTGGTTATTTATTGAAGGTGGAGGGGTTACCAGCCCCTCGTACCCGTCCAGAGCCCCCGTTTAGCCACTGTGGTGGTCACAGACGCCATGAGGGGAGGAGCCAATCGGAATTGGCCCTCCCCCCGTCTGGCACCGCGAGGAGGTAGGGGGTTGTTTTGCCGGACACACAGCCCTCTACAAACACACACAGCCCTCTACACACACACAAAGACAAAGATCCCCCGTATAGCCTTAATAGACTGTAGGGGCAAGTGCTGTGAGCGAGCACCTATGAAAGTCGGCATGGTACACTAGGGGGTGGGTAGCCAGCGGCACGCCTGTTCGCCTTTGTCTCCATAGTGGCGATGTCTACACACCGTAACACGTACTAATTTGAGGCTGAGTCGACCTCGGGGAGGCCCAAGACTGCTTCAGATAATTGTCACTGGCAATTATCACTGGGTAATTGTTGGCCATGAGTGGGAATCGAACTGTGCTTGCTGGGTTCGTAGCGCAGCGCGCTAACCGCTACACTACCACTCCCCACTACACACACACATAGCCCTCTACACACACACACATAGCCCTCTACACACACACACACAGACCCACACAATCCTCAACATACACACACAGCCCTCTTACACACACAGACCCACACGGTCGTCGACATACACACACAGTCCTCTTACACACACAGACCCACACGTTCCTCGACATATACACACAGCCCTCTTACACACACAGACCCACACGGTCCTCGACATACACACACAGCCCTCTTTCACACACAGACCCACACGGTCCGCGACATACACACACAGCCCTCTTATAAACACAGACCCACACAGTTCTCGACATACACACACAGCCCTCTTACACAGAGACCCACACGGTGCTCGACATACACACACAGCCCTCTTACGCAACACAGACCCACACGTTCCTCGACATACACACATCCCTCTTACACACATAGACCCACACGGTCGTCGACATACACACACAACCCTCTTACACACACAGACCCACATGGTCCTCGACATACACACAAAGCCCTCTTACACACACAGACCCACACGGTCGTCGACATACACACACAGTCCTCTTATACACACAGCCCCACACAGTCCTCGACATACACACACAGCCCTCTTACACAGAGACCCACACAGTCCTCGACATACACACAGCCCTCTTACACACACAGACGCACACGGTGCTCGACATACACACACAGCCCTCTTACACAACGCAGACCCACACGTTCCTCGACATACACACACAGCCCTCTTACACACACAGACCCACACGGTCCTCGACATACACACACAGCCCTCTTACACACACAGACCCACACAGTCCTCGACATACACACACAGCCCTCTTACACACACACAGACCCACACAGTCCTCGACATACACACACAGCCCTCTTACACACACAGACCCACACAGTCCTCGACATACACACACAGCCCTCTTACACACACAGACCCACACGGTCATCGACATACACACACAGCCCTCTTACACACAGACCCACATGGTCGTCGACATACACACACAGCCCTCTTACACACAGACCCACATGGTCGTCGACATACACACACGGTCCTTTAACACACACAGACCCGCACGGTTCTCGACATACACACACAGCCCTCTTACACACAGATCCACACGGTCCTCGACATACACACACAGCCCTCTTACACACACAGACCCACACGGTCGTCGACATACACACAGCCCTCTTACACACACAGACCCACACGGTCATCGACATACACACACAGCCCTCTTACACACAGACCCACATGGTCGTCGACATACACACACAGCCCTCTTACACACAGACCCACATGGTCGTCGACATACACACACGGTCCTTTTACACACACAGACCCGCACGGTTCTCGACATACACACACAGCCCTCTTACAAACACAGACCCACACGGTCGTCGACATACACACACAGCTCTCTTACACACACACAGACCCACACGGTCCTCGACATACACACACAGCTCTCTTACACACGCACAGACCCACACGGTCCTCGAAATACACACACAGCCCTCTTACACACAGATCCACACCGTCCTCGACATACACACACAGCCCTCTTACACACACAGACCCACACGGTCGTCGATATAGACACACGGTCCTCTTTTACACAGACCCACATGGTACTCTCGTTGCATAATGCAAAAGAGCCCTCTACAGGGCGATCCAGATATCTTGTGACCTCCAATTAATTGACCCATAAACATGTTTTCCCCCTTTTCCCATTATTTTCTGTTTTAAATCAACCTTACTTTCATTTTTACGTTTTATATAATTAAATGGGGGGGGGGGGGGTCACAAGACATCCTGACCAAACGACCCCCTGTAGACACACAACCCACCACTGCCCCCCACTGCGAGCCCACGCAAAGCAAGGAGCGCAGAGGGGACAAAGTTGTGCCGGGGTCCGGGCCAAGCTGTGGATGGTCTGTGCGGGCGTGCGGGCGGGCGGGTGGAGGTGCACCGAGTGCGCAAAAAAAAACGCAACCACCTGTTTTTCGTGATTTAAAAAAAAATCTTCCGGTGAAACCAAAACGCGAGCCGAGGGCAGGAGAAGAAGAAAAAAACAACAACAACAACAATAACAAAAACAACGCAACAACAACAACAACGCAACACCAACAACAATAACCACAACAACGCAACAACAACAACAACAACAACGCAACAACAACAATAACCACAACGAGGCGAGCCTTACCTCGAACGAGGCAGAGCAACACAATCGCCCAGACCCAGGTGCGGTGGCAGGAACCGCTTGTTGTCCTCGTGCCCAGCATGGTCGCATCGCACGCGGAACCCGCGCAGCCTGGACGAGCAGAAGGGGCGTAAATGCCGGTGTCTCTGTGTGTGGTGTCTCTGTGTGTGTGTGTCTATCTCTGCGTGTGTGTGCGTGTTTCTCTGTGTGTGTGGTGTTGTGTCACTGTGTGTGGTGTATCTGTGTGTGTGTGTGTTGTGTGTCTCTGTGTGTGTGTGTTTCTCTGTGTGTTTGTGTTGTGCGTCTCTGTGTGTGGTGTCTGTGTCTCTGTGTGTCTCTCTGTGTGTGTATGTGTTTCTCTGTGTGTTTGTGTTGTGCCTCTCTGTGTGTGGTGTCTCTGTGTGTGTGTTGTGTTGTGTCTCTGTGTGTGTGTGTTTCTCTGTGTGTGTGTTGTGTGTCTCTGTGTGTGGTGTCTGTGTGTGTGTGTGTTGTGTCTCTGTGTGTGTGTCTCTCTGTGTGTGTGTTGTGTGTCTGTGTGTGGTGTCTCTGTGTGTGTGTTGTGTCTCTCTGTGTGTGTGTTTCTCTGTGTGTGTGTGTGTTGTGTCTCTCTGTGTGTGTTGTGTGTCTCTGTGCGCGCTTCTGTGTGTGCGTGTGTTGAGATAATGGTGGTGATGGTGGTCACACGTGCTCGCCTGACCGCGCAGCCTGCATGAGCAGGGAAAAGAGCAAATCAGGGGCCGGTGTCTGAGTCTGTGTTTTTTTTTTTCCTGGTGAGAGGCAGTGTATCAGTTAGCGCGCTGCGCTACGAACCCGGTGACCCGAGTTCATAAATGCTCACGAACAGCACTTGCACCACAATCCTGTGAAGGCTATACGGGGGAGTTTTGTCTGTGTATGCCTGCCTGTCTCGTGACAATGGTAGTGGTGGTGATGCTGACCGCTAGGCTGCGCGCCCGATCGCGAGAGAGCTCCCCTCCGTCTGTCCGATGTGAATCTCAGATGACTCCCCACGACCCCGCACATTTGTGCGGCCCCTCCACCGTTGCTGCTTACGAAGCATCGGGTGCGCGGAGCGTGTCGCGGCGTGATGATTTCTGTTCCAATTGAAAATATCGGTGATCACGTGAAGCCGCACATTGAGGGGGTCGCGAGGTTCTGGGGTTCGAGTGATCAACCTGCACGTGGTAATGGACTAATTATCGATGGTGCCAAGTGCCGGATTATCCTCCTAGCAAAAGTAGCTACATATGTAGTAGTAGATACGGGCCCCGCACTTTAAAGGGCCCCGCGCTAAACGCTTTCAAGCTGTCAATTCCGGTTCAGTGATTCTGCACTTGCTCTATTAATATAGTACTATACCGCCTTCAACTTTTATGAACGACTGGGTGTTTAAGGTTAGCGATTTGTAATATTATCTGGCTGTATAACAAATGAAACAATACAATTACTTTACTGTGCAAGTAAAAAAAAAATTGTGTTTAAATATTTACGTGTTTTTTTATTTAGGGCCCCTCTATATGCTACAGGCCCCGCACGAGCTTGATCCGGCACTGATGGTACCGATGTCTGGACACGAGTCTGGATGCCTGCCCTGCTCGACTTTAGTGGTGTTCGTGGGACTATTTGTGTCAATACGCCCGATAATGACGATGACATCTGGCTCGACCTCGTGTTGGAGGTGCATCCCTGACTTATATCCCATCTCCGATGTGTCTGCTGTGACACGACACCTGTTTACTTGTTCGGGGCGCGGGCTCCTGGTATTGACGCTTTCTCGGACTCGTGAACAACCTGGCGAGGCGTAAACCTCCCCCAGAATGCTGCGAGCGGCCTGATCGTGTGTACGTGCACGCGCGTTGAACTTCTTCCGCACCCTACGTAGCCCCAACCGCGCTCATCAGGAGGTGCGGTTGACGGGCTGCTATCCCGGCAGGGTCAATAGAGCTCGCTCTCTTTGTCAAATCGAATTGAGGAGAAAGGCACCTGTCGCCGGCCGGGGGGGGAGGGGAGGGGCTCTGGTTTGTTCTATTCTCTCCCTCGCATTGGGAGTCGTCGGCGTCAGCTTGACACCGAAATCGGCTTGCTGATGAAATTGGCAGTGACACACGGGGGGGGGGGTGGGGGTTGGCCCAACAGCGCACAGCGGCGGGCGAAGCGCTGCGCGACCATAACGCGAGAATGGGGGGCCCCGGTGGTGGCCCGCGTGGTGCCGAGGTATTTGCCGGCCGTCTCGCTCGCTCGCGGTGGGGGTGATTGTGGTGATGATGGTGATGGTGGTGATGGTGGTGATGGTGATGATGGTGGTGATGGTGGTGATGATGGTGGTGATGGTGGTGATGGTGATGACACCGGAGGCTGATGACTGCAGGCAAGCGGTGCCCCCCCCCCCCTTCATTCACGGACGCGCGTTTTCACAAACTCGGGTGCTCACGACACGATGGCTTTTCCGATGGCAATCCGGGGCACCCGACTCTTTCGCCATCGCAGGCGAGCGGACGCGGCGTTGGGGTGACCATTTGCGCACGACGCGTTAAGAAGCGTCGTTGACGTCCGGTGAACGAAAGCGAGGTGACGACGCGATGCGTTACCTGTCAGCGCGGCATGCAGTCAGTCCCTTGCGAGTCGTGCTCCTTGCCAGACGATGTCGATTCTCGAGACGATGCAGGATCGCAGAACTTTAGAACGATGTACAAAAACGACACCCGCAACTTAAGGTGCTGGTGGTGTTGGGGGCGGGTGGGGTCCCGCAGATATGATTGCAGATGCGCCGATTGTAATCCCCGGCATTAGCTACAGTCCACTCGTGTTTAATATCAATAACACTAATAGCCTACAGTACTTACAAAAAACGCATCGCTTGCTAAATTCATCCTCAACTCGATATCCAGACGGGTAGCAAACAGCAGCAGCAGCAAACAGCAGTAGACGCGCGCACAATCCCGCGGCGCGACGCTCCGTGATTTGAGATTGATGGCAAGTTGAAATTAAGAAAGCCGGAGGAGCGAGCAGGGAACACAAATAAATAAATAAATCCACGCGAGACGTGTTTGTGTTTTTATTCTCTCTCCCTCTTGCTCAGGTTGCGTCGCTCTCCGTTCCTTGCCGTGTTTTAATTTCGCACGCGTAGAGGGCTCGGGCGGGGGGGTGGGTGGTGGTGGTGGCGGTGGTCGCGGCTGCCTCCTGAGAGGTGTCTCCGAGTCTCGGCGTGCCGGCGTGAATTCTCTCCGTGCGCTCAGAGCGAGCGAGGCGCTGGGACCGGGAGACGAGGAGAGGCGAGGATCGTGATGGTTGCTGGTTGGGGGGGGGGGGCGGGGGGGGCGGAAGCGGGGGAAGGTAGGGAGGGAGGGTGGGGAGACATCGTTCTCTCTCTCTCTCTTCAACACCATTCACTCTCCCCCTGGCTTGCCATCACTCCCACACCTGAGTCACGGTTGCATTCCTGGATCCCCGGAGCAAATGTGTGGATGACGTGGCGCGCGCGCGCACACGCGCAGCCACAAACAATGCGGAGCGAAATGCAACAGCCACCACGACGTGACGGCGACGTCATCACGGCGTTTGTGCCAGGCTAGGTGCACTTTGTATGCGACAAATACCAACACATGCACAGACTACACACAGACACACAAACACACACTACATACACGTATTGTGCATTGACGCGCAGAGACAAATCATATTTGTCGCAGACAAAGAACAAGTGGAGTTAGCGAGCAACTATTAAGGCCACGTGCGGCGTGCAAGGTGGTCGTATAACCCGCACGACGCCCGGCCAGCCACCTCTGTTTCCTCCCTACTGAGATTTGCAAATCGCAACGGGTGCTCTCTTAATGCCGAGACGACCTCGTGAACGCCCAAAAACCGGTTCGGGGATCTCTCAACGCTGGTTTGTTCGCCGGCGTCGGGAATCGGAACCAGATCGCGGGGCCCCGGGGGTCGTAGCCGCAGCGCACCAAATCACTGCGCCGCCGCTCCCCCCACACACACAAAGGTCCCCCGTATAGCGTACACAGAGCAGTTGTGGTAAGTTCACACACGCAAACAAATCAATATCCCCCGTTAGCCTTATACAGACTGTTGGGGCAAGTGCTGTTAGCGAGCACCTATGAAGGCCGGCACGGCGCACGAGGGGGTGGGTGGCCAGCAGCACGCCCGGCCACCTTTGTCTCCCTAAGTGGCGATGTTTACACACCGCACCAGGTACTCATTTGAGGCCGGATTGACCTATATGAGGCCCAGGACCGCTTCAGATAATAGTCACTGATGTTGACCCAGAGCGGGAATCGAACCCGACTCGGCGGGTTCGTAGCGTAGCAGCTCCGCTAACTGCACACACACACACGCAATCTTCACATACACACATACACACGCAATGTTCACATACACACACACACGCAATCTTCACATACACACACACACACAAGCTTCACATACACACACACGCAATCTGCACATACACACACACGCAATCTTCACATACACACACGCAATCTTCACATACACACACACACACACATGCAATCTTCACACACACACGCAATCTTCACATACACACACGCAATCTTCACATACACACACACACACATGTAATCTTCACACACACACACGCAATATTTACATACACACACGCAATCTTCACATACACACACACGCAATCTTCACACACACACAATCTTCACATACACACACACAATCTTCATACACACACACAATCTTCACACACACACACGCAATCTTCACACACACACGCGCGAAATCTTCACACACACACACATACACGCAATCTTCACACACACGCGCGCGCAATCTTCACACACACACACACGCAATCTTCACACACACACACACACGCAATCTTCACACACACACACACCGCGATGTACCTGGCTGCCCGAGGGAGGAGTGCATGTGCAGCAATTTGCTGTTAAGTGGAGTGCGATTGCGTGAAAGCTGCCAGATATTTGTTTCAACTCTTAATGCGAGCTGCGATGTCTCTCTGCATTCCCCGGCATTCCATAAGCGTCGTCTCCGAAAGCCTGGATCTATTACTTTGGAGCTTTTAGATTCGATTTACTGATAGATACAGAAAAAAAATGTGTAATCTCCATGCAAGCCGCTCCGCCTGGTTCCATGTCCTTGCGATGCTGCAATCAGCGGCGTAATACCAAGACCCAGGTCTCACGTGCAGACCTTGGAGGATACCTGTAATCCCCCGTGCGCAGGTGATGGTATTTTTAAACACGTGCTATCCCGGCGTGTGAAGACTATTCATGATATAATCACTCCCCTTTGTTTAGTGCAGGAAAGATCTCGCCGAGTCCCAAGACACGTTTTTCAAGAGTCTTGCTCGAAGCGTTTGGTCAAATCCTCATCGAGTGCGTGTGATGTGTGCTCGGTGGAACAGGGTGAGCAGGCGTGGCCAGGATAATAATCGTTTCGGTTTTACGGAGCGTCGTTCGTGTAAATTGTATCTCACCATTCTGTACATCGCATTGGTGGCCGATGGCCAAACGTCTTTGTCTCCCTAGTGCTGACAATGTACACACCCGTGTTAGGCTGAGCCCCACTTCAAGGAGGAAAGGGTCAAGTTCAGATCTCACTCACCACTGATGTTCGCCGTGGTCAGGAATGGAACTAAAGCCTCCGGGTGCATACGGCGGTGCTCTAACAACCACTGCGCCACCACTCCGCCATAACTCCCCTTCCGAATCGATGCATACGCAATTGCATTTGTCCACTCAAGGGTAGAATCGTCGCTCTGCAGTAAGATCACTTGTGGGAAGCCAGCGTGTTGGGGTAAACATTCATCAGCAGCCCATCTCTGTGGTGGCCATCCTGACATGGGTGCATTCCTTCCTGCATCTGCCCCTCTGTCGTTAGTCGATGCTCTCTTTGGCGCGTTCCTCCCTTTGGTTGCCATTCTAGACCGTCGGACATCATTTTTTCTCGTGAGCGGTGACGTGTGTCCTGCCCATTCATTGCACCACAAAAAAAAAACACAATCGTTATTATTTACATTCTGCTTTAACATAATTCTGCTTATGTCAGCACTGGCAATTTACCACGTTGGTTTTTAATGACACACGATACACCAAGAACACTCTTTCCGCTGTAAGTCCCATCGTGGCTTGGATGCGGGTCACGTGATCGTTGTACGTACAACGCCTTCAGCCGTATCAAGACCATCAGCAGCGGCTCGAGAGACGAAGCGGTCAGCCCACCAACTCAAAGAGTTGTAAAATGCGTCCACAGACAACAGCGCTCCTTACGCGTGAGCGCAAGTCGCGCGTGTCGTTTCCCGGCTGCGCACGTGTTCACGTGGCGACGGGTTGCTTCTTGTTTCCATTGACGGAAAGTGTTCGATCGAAGCAACTTGACCAATCGCATGCAACCTGGAGTCGTACCTCGTGCAATGTTCTCGCGTAAATGTCATTGACACAAAGCTGAACGTAAAGACACGATCGCCGACGGATTTGGGAATGGCTAATGGAGAGGGAGAGAGAGATGGCTGTGAAATATCGCCTACTCTGCAGAATGCAAAAGGCATTTTGCGAATGCACCGCACGCACGAATGCGTAGCGTACTCATCAGGATAAACAATAGCCTCCAAATGTCCATAGCAACACTCTGGTAGCACACCACTGGTGCTCTGGACACAAAAAACAGAAAGTGCCCCCCCCCTGCTCTTCTCCACCCCCCCATGGCATGCAGTCACTCATTAATTGGCAGTAATAACAGCAATTTGTCGCGGATTATGGGCAATTAGAGGCGTTAAAAGGTGCTTTAATTTTTTCGCAATGGGGTTAAAAATGGCATTTAAAGAGAATGCGTCCAAACTAAAAAATGTTTTCTATATTTTTTTACTGAGAACAAATTAAAGGATCGATCGCGCATCTCTCTCCATTGCCGAAGAATGCCGCTTTTTAGAAAATGTCAAATTCTAAAGTTCAAAACGATCGCCCGCGTGTGGATTATGGGAATTCTTCTCGTATGCGTCGGCATGAACCAATCACCAACGTCCTTTGTCCGCGATGACGAAGAATGTCACCGTCAGCAATGATCCATCCACTGCTAAGTGACGGTCCCCCCAAAAGTCGTCACTACCACGATCTTGCGACGCAATTTGCAACTAGCGCCACTTGCACGCGAGTTGCTTTCATCGTTCCATCTCACCCTGTAGATGTCCCCTCGAACGCCTTGAACTTCCTTGACCGCTATCACCATCAACGATGATCTATCCAACTGTTCAATGGCGTATTCCCAAAGCCGTCGCCATCTCTTGCGGCAGCGCGGTGCAACAATCCATCCAGCTCCTACACAAGAGCAGTTTTATTTTATTGTCAGTCTATCTCTGTGGTGGAAATCCTGCCTCGGGCGTAATCCCTCGTTTAGCTGCAACTCCGTCGTTAGTCTCCACTATCGCTTCTGGGGACGTGTCCTGCGCAAGCCCACGTCGGTTTCTTCACAGTCGATACGATGTCTCTTACCCGGGTGCGTTCTCTCACGTTACTCTCAATCATTGGCCACCGTCGCTTCTGGTGACGTGTCATGCGCGGGCCCACTTACATTTCTTCAAAGTCAATATGATGCCTCTGACCCGAGTGTGTTCTCTAACGCGTGCGTACCTCTTCCCCCACGCATCCCCTCAATGCAACAACGGTCCGCCGAGCCGCATGCGCTACGAGCTGATTTCATCTCCTCCGTGGACAATCTCTCGGGCGCATTCCACTCCTGTGCTGCCACTCCATCAAAATGAAATGTAATAACGCGGAGACGGCGCTGTCAGAAGTTCTCACTCGGAAGCACTTAGCGGACGGTCGCGGCCCATCACCAGGCGCTGCGCGGTGGGAATTAGCCGGCTGCTGTCCCCGCGTCCGATGAGCTGACCCCGTTATGATGAGAGAGCTCCGTTGGCGAGGCGAACCGCGGTGCGAGGCTATTTCACGGTGAGGTCACGTGGGGGGGGGGGGGGGGGGGGAGCGCACGCCGTGGTCCCCGCAGGCCAGATGACAATAAACTGCATGCGTTGCAGCGGCACTCCCCCCCCCCCAGATGCCCGTGACATGTGTGTGTGTGTGTGTGCGTGTGGCGAACGTACGCTCCGCTATGTCCAGGTGTGTAAAATGTAAAGGTGCGACCCAGCGATTGCGTGCTCACGTTACTGCTCGTGTTAGGGGCCTCCGCTAGAGGGAGCCCTGGGGATCCCCTGGAGTGGAATTTGGCCTTCTCTTCCACGCCGGCCAGAA